CCCTCCAAGTAGGGAGGGGGCCCAGGAAGGGGGGCGGGGAGGGGCAGTGGCAGGCCCCAGGATGGGAGGGGTTTGGTGCATGCTGAATTGGCCCTGGCGCCCACTGGAGGGCGGTCAACAAGCCTCCGCTCCACTGCGGCATTGCCCAAGCCGACTCCAGGAGGCTCCGCCGAGGCTCCGACTGAGGCTCCGGTGGCCAAGACGACCCAGGATCGCCCCAATTGCCAGCGAGGACGGGCCCAGAGGGCCGAAAGAGAGCCTCAAGGTAGCTGAAGATGGTCTGCAGATTGGCCAGGGACGGCCCAAGAAAGGTCCACGCCAGCCCACAGAGCGCCAAGCTGACACAGGATTGCCTTGACAAAGGCTCCGATCGCCAAGACGACTCGGGATCGCCCCAGTTGCCACCCAGAAAGGCCCAAGAGGGCCCCATCAGAGCCTCAAGGTAGTTGAAGAGGGCCTGCATGGGGGACCAGGGACAGCCCAAGAATCGTCCAAGACGGCCCAAAGAGCGTCAAGCTGGCCCTGATGGCCTTGACAACCGCCCCGAACGGCCCAAGAGAGCATCGTCCAAGCACAAATAGGGAAGGGGGGGCGAGGAGGGGCACTTGCACGCCCCTCGAAAGGCGGGTCCCGGCTCCAGCATTAGGGGGCACTCAAGAGGTTTCCGACCCACTCCGGGCACGGCCCAAACAGATTCCAAAAGGCTGATCCGAGACTCCAACAGAGGCTCCGATCGCCAAGACAGCCTGGGATCGCCCCAAGTGCCGCCCAGAATGGCCCGGGAAAGCCCCATCAGAGCTTCAAGATAGCTGAAGAGGGCTGCAGAGTCGCCAGGGACAGCCCAAGAAAGGTCCAGCAAGTACGGTCCAAGAAGCGCCAAGCTGACCCAGGTGGCCTTGACAACCGCCTAGGACGGCCAAAGAGCGCCCCAAGAAGAGAGTTCCGGGATAGCCCAAGAGGGGCTGCAGATTGGCCTAATAGAGCACCATCCAAGTAGGGAAAACGCGAGGAGGAGAAGGTTCATCTCCATTGAGGGAACTGCCTCGTTGGAAGACAGCCGTTTGAAGATCCTGAAGCATGCCGGAACATTGTTCTCGGGATTTCAACGCCACGCATCAATCTGACTACTGCGTTTTGGCGATCCGGAATCGTGCCATCACGCTTTTGTGTAAGTCCAACTCCGCGAATCAACATATCTGTTGCACCCACATAATCCTGAATCCTTCCAAACACTTTGTTGGGTACGTTGATCATGGGAATCCGTGAAACTCTTGCACACGTTTAAAACGAATATGCGCGGCACGACGGCGAGAGCAACATTTTGAAAAGGAACCGCCCTCATTCCGTGAAGCCCTTGCATTTGTTCACAAGGAATGCGCGCGGCGCTAACATTTTGACAAGGACTTGTCTTCATTCCGCGAAAATCCTGCAATATGTTACGAAGAATGTGCGCGGCGCTAGGGCGAGAGCCACATTTTGAAAACGACCCGCCCTCAATCCGTGAAGTTCCTGCAAATGTTTAAAACGAATGTGCGCGGCGCTAAGGCGAGAGCCACATGTTGAAAACCACCCGCCCTCAATTCGTTAAATTATTATAGTTTTTGTTTAAGAATGTGCGCGGTGCTATGGCGAGAGCCACATTTCGAAAACCACCCGCCCTCCATCTGTGAAACTGTTGCCATTTTTAAGGTTCAGAGCCATACATGGTGAGGAAGTCTCAGGCGAAACGCCCGGCCCGCCCTAAAAATTGGTTTCGGGGTGCGACAGGGAGGAGTTATTTGTAAGGAACAGGAATGGCTGAGGAGGAGGAGGAGGAGGAGGAGCGGGGAAAGGTAGGCGCACACCCCAGGGGGAGGGGGGGCAGGTCCTAAAGTGGCTCTGGCTCAAGCATTGTGTGGCGCTCAAGAAGGTTCAGACCCCACTCCAGGACGGCCGAAGAGGCCCCTCCGAGGCTCCAACAGAGGCTCCGATCGCCAAGGCAACCCAGGATCACCCCAAAGGCCACCGAGATTGGGCCGACTTGACCCTAACAGAGCCTCAAGACAGATGAAGAGCGTTTGCAGAGTGGCCAGGGACGGCCCCCAAAAAGGTCCAACGCGGCCCAAGGAGCGCCAAGCTGGCCCAGGGTCCAAGCCAAGCGAGCCCCAAGAAGGGAATTCTGGGGAGGGGCTGCAGAATGGCCCAAGGGAGTGCCCTCCAAGTAGTGAGAGGGCCGACGAGCGGGGGGCGGGGCGGGGTAGGCGCACGCCCCAGGAAAGGGAGGGGGCCAGGCACACGCTAAACTGGCCCCGGCTTCAGCATTGGAGGGCGGCCAGGAAGCCTCTGACCCCAACTCCAGGACGGTCTTTAGAGACTCCAACAGAGGTTCCGATCGCCAAGACGATCCAGGGTCGCCCCGATTCCCGCCCAGAACGGCCCGAGAGAGCCTCAAGAGAACCTCAAGAGAGTTGACGAAGGCATGCAGAGTGGCGAGGGACAACCCAGACGGCCAAAGGAGCGTCAAGCTGGCCCAGGATGGCCTTGACAACCGCCCAGGACGGCCAAAAAGGGACCCGTTCAGAAGGGCACAGAGGCACCCTCCAAGTCGGGATGGGGTCGAGGAAGGGGCGGCAGGGATGAGTAGGCGCACGCCCCAGGGGAGGGGGGGGGGGGCCAGGTGCCATGGCTCTGGCATTCGGGCGTGCTCAAGAAGCCTCCGACCCCATTCCAGGACGGCCCACAGAGACTCCAAAAGGCACATCAGAGGCTCCAACAGAGGCTCCGATCGCCAAGACAACCCAGGATCGTCCCAAAAGCCGCCCCGACCGTGCCGAGATGGCCCCCAAAGAGCTTCAACATAGCTGAAGAGGGCCTACAGAGTGGCCAGGGACGGACCAGAAAGGTCCAACGCGGCCCAACGAGTGCCAAGCTGACACAGGACGGCCTTGACAAAGGCTTCGAGCGCCAAGACGACCCGTGATCGCCCCAACTGCCGCCCAGGAGGGCTTCAGTGGGCCCCAAGAGAGCCCCAAGGTAGCTGAAGAGGGCTGGCAGAGTCGCCAGGGACGGCCCAAAAAAGGTCCAACGCGGCCCAAGGAGCGCCAAGCTGACCCAGGACGGCGTCGAGAACCGCCTTGGACGGCCCAAGAGGGCCCCAAGAAGAGAGTTCCGAGATAGCCGAAGAGGGGCTCCCCAAAGGCTCAAGAGAGCAACCTTCAAGTAGGTAGGGGACCGACGAGCGGGGGGCGGGGCGAGGTAGTGCACGCTAAACCGGAAAGCTAAGCTGGCCCCCGCTCCAGCCTCCAGCATTGGTGGGAGTTCAAGTATGCTCCGCCCCACTCCTGGATTGCCCAAAGCATCCACGAGGCCCATGGGGGGCTCTCACAGGCGCTCCGTTCGCCAAGACGACATTGGATCGTGGCCAGGGACGGCCCTAGAAAGGCCCAAGACAGTCCAAGGTGCGCCAAGCTGGCCCGGAATCGCTGCAAAAACCACCCAGGACGGCCCAAAAGGGAGACACACCCGATGTAACCGCAGAAACAAGCAAAAGAAACACGCAAACCGAGGAGCATCCCAATTGTGGAAAACACAAAGTGAAGATGAGTATAAAATTGGCACCAAACAATGTGTTTGACATCTGTGCCATATTGTGGAATCCAGACGAATATATCTGGGGAAATCGTGAGAATCCTTTGGAATCTTGCGGGAACATTAGGAGCCCTCAGGAAGCCTGAGGAATCCACAGCAAGCCTTCGGAACCTGGGGAACCCCCAGGAAGCCAAAGGAATCCTGAGGATTCCTGAGAAAACCTTCGGAATCTTGGGAAATCCTGGGGCGCCCTGATGGTTCCTGAGGGATCCCGAGGAACACCTTGGGGAACCATC